TTTTTTTTTTTTTTACCAAACTAAAAGTGAAACTACAAACTAACTTTACTTTATATGCTCTCCCTCGCCCCAATAACTTTTCCTCTTTAGAGACGCATTCCTGTATGTGGGTGCATGTTTGAATGCAGGACTAAAAAATACATTATCTATACGCACCTATGGTAAAGGGATAATATAGGCATCAAAATAACATTTGCATTACCCCTTCCTGACGTTGGGGCATGTTATGCCGTCCTTCAAAATTAGGTCTTTAACACCGTTAGGGGGTCATAACACGTCCTATCAATCGGGCCCTCCCTATAGCCTCTATACTTACCCTCCTGCACAGTAAATTGAACCTTAATCACATACAGGAGGATCTTGCATGGTCTGGAAGGCTTATTCGCATTACAAAAATTCTAAATTAAACAGAATGTGCAATAAAGAAAGTTTAAACATTTGATATATCTTTACAGGCAGTGTTTAGGAAGGCTGTGTGCAGGGAGGTGTGACTAGGCCTGTGATTTAACTCCTACATGGCAGAGAATTGACATTGAGACTGCAGTGGCATGATCTATACACCAAAACTACTTCATTAAAAAAAAAAAAAAATGTGAGATATGATTGCCACAGGTGTAGACATGTGTGAGCTCTAACACATTAATAAGTAAGCGCATCACAATTGATGAAATGAAAACCTACTGCATGACTGAAGTAGCAAAATATTTTTTTCTATGCAATATCTGAATGAATAATGGCATCTTACTTTACATTGTTTACAGATTGTCTAAGTTCTCAGACTCGTTTAAAGCTTGCAGGCATGCTGGTGAGTTGGTTGAAGAAGCAAATCTAAGTAGTATTTATTTTGTGGTTGTTCATTACTTTAAAATATCACTATTTGTGGGAGCATGTACACTCTGGACATCATAACAACTTTATGAGAATAAAGTTCTTATCGTGCCAAATCCTTGGCTCAAGCTTTCCATTTAGGGGTTACATTTTCTCTAAATTTAACCATCCTCATAGGGAGATGTTTAACTATCTGAGAATGAAATCCTTTTTAACTGGTAAAGCCTTGGCAAGGCCAACTCCGATAGACCAGTTTCTGACTCAGCACTTGCGTAATAAAATGTTCTCTAGATTTATTAACACCCAGCAACATAAATACAAAGTCCGAGCAATGATAAAATGGGAATAAGAACTCCACTTAGTGCTTGGGAAGGTTGGTTACAGGGCTTTCTTTTTGTAAAAAGAATCACACACCGTGTAACCATTCTAGAAGGATATTATAAACGTATTTACTGCTGGTACTTGGTTCTATTTCATCTTTCACGAATGGATTCCGATGTATCTCCTGATTTCTGGTGTTGCGGCAAAGCTTTGGGTACATTTTCTCATATCTGGTGGCAGTGTGAGGAGCTGTCCACAACAAAAGAGACTCTCTCTAGATTGCTAAACTATACTGAAGTCAAACTAACAGCGCACATGCTTTTATTCCATATTGGCTTCCCTCCCGACAATAATAATGCAAAAACCCTTCTGATTCATTTTTTTTTTTTGGCCACAAAATTAATAATTGCCAGAAACTGGAGGAAAATAGGCCCTCTGATTTGGTCCAAAATAAGCTTACAGGTTAATTTCCAGTATAGAATGAAAAAAGGGTTCCAACCAGACAGAATGTCCACTGACAAATACGAAGAAGAGTGGCTTCCCTGGCATAAATTTACCACAACTTATGATCACTAGATGTAACCCTCTGCCCCCCCGCCCCCCACCTTCCTCCCTCACCTCTGCCACTAATACGACAGGTGTGTCTGAAGTGTGTTTGCAGGTTATTAGTTGGGAAACATAGGTTTGATGCTGTATTTAGTTGGGAAACATAGGTTTGATGCTGTATGATTTGGATAGTGGATTACCATTGTTTTCATAATCAGAAAGTTACACACTCTGCTTTGGTATTCATCTAGCACTTGTCCCAACTAGTGACCTAGTTAGTCTATAAGAAATTTAATATTCACTGCGAAAGAAAGAGAGAAAACAAAACATTCATAAACGCTTTAACCCCAAAGTCATGTATTCAGTGCCCCATCTCTCTGCCCCATGTCCGTCGACTGCTTAGATTCTTGAAACTGGAAACCTCAGGTATCTGTAGACAGGGGTGCCGCTGATGCTCTTAGCCAATTTGTAGAGCCCCATTCATATAAATAGCTTGAGAAAAAATATATGTAAATTTGTCGTGCTGTTTTGGGAACGGGAAGCTATTGATTGGCTTAGCGTGCCAACTGACTTGGCGGCAGAGCGATTGGGCGCTGGATACTCACTCTGGGCTAAACAGATCGTGAACGGTTTAACCCTTAAATGGAAAGCCAGTGCCATGGACTTCCTGGCTCCAGAACCACTTAATTCCAATAAAGTTGATATCATGCCAAAAGTGTGTGGGGTTTTTTTTAAAAGCATTTTTAATGAAGATTGCTGTAGACAATGGGGATATTAAGTGCTCAACGATGAGTTACATTACATTGAATTTTCTTTTTATTATTTACTTTTTGTTTCTGTTTGCATGACTTTTAAATTGATCACATCCTGGGTAAATGAAATATTGAATGTGTCATACATTAGTGTTTACCACATTTTGCATCATTTTACATGGGAACGTTGGTTCATTGTGGCATTGAAATCGTTAAATTCTGTAAACCGGTTCCCTTTTTTATGATCCATTTTCTCTAACATTCCTTGATACAGCTGATTTGTAATGATTGGTAATTACCAAGTGCTAATACAGTTAGCTAGCTAGCTGAAAAAAAATTTAATTGAGTGTCATGGTGATTGCTCCACATTTAGATGTCTGTTCTGAAATACTCCCTCGTAGACTAATCAAATGTCATTCTTTTCTTTATCTTCTTCAGGAAGGGCTTGTTCGTGTAGGATGGATGGACTGCTCTACGCAAGCAAATCTCTGCGACAACATGGCTATCGCAACAAGCACTACTGCTTATTTCCCCCCTGGAGCTACCCTAGTGGATGACAGGAGCAGCATTTTGGTAG